ATAATAGTATTTTAGTATTCTTGTTCACATTTTTTTCTAGTGTAATATCAATGAAATCAACTTCTTTTCTATACTGAGAATATGAAAGAAGACATTCATTTGCATATTTTATTCTGCCGCAGCAACTTTCTACAAGACAGAAACTGTTTTATCAGAAAATACAAGTCATCTCCCCATACCAATTTTAAATTCAGTCTTCAAATTTAATAAACTAACCTTCAAAATAGTATTATCCAATGTGTTAATGCATAGAAACTTGCTTTCATATTATATATCAAAATTATGGAAAACATTCAAAAGAGCTTTGCAAAGCAAATCACTACAAGCTTTTCTCCACAATATACTAACAGTCACATCCTTTGGAAAGTGTGCATGGCTACTGCAAAAGCTGTTTCCAGGATGTGTTCAGACATCTCTTAAACTGTTATAGCACCAAAGTAACTGTATATGGCTCAGGCAATGGGAGACAGCCTTCAAAGCAGTTTTACATGCTTTCCCAAGGTACAGTTGCTTTAATACCTCAAGGATGAGCGCCTCACCATGCCAACACACTTTGCAAGGCACCTTTTTTCAAGATTTCACAGATTCAATTTTGTAGGAAGCTGAAAGTGAGCTTTAAAAAGCCCAGTCATTTCAATATGAGATGGCAAATAAATAGATAAACTACTCTCCTTGCAGTCTAGTCATTTGTTTTCAACAATTTGCTATAAATGATACAATTTATTCTCATTAACTTATAACGTTCAACCTATACATGTAAAAGTTGTTCTGTAAATAGCAATCTGCTAATACTGTGATCTCCAATATGGCAACTTGGAATGCTAGTGCTCTTGCTGTGCAACAGGTTCTATGCTACCTTTTATAATTTTTTAAATTAAAAAAAATTGGTGATGCTGCAAAATGAAGTATTAGTCTCCAGAACTGGAAGCACCTCTGGTTATTCTAGAAGCTTACTTTTATAACAACAACTTAATGCACAGCAGTGTATTAAATGTCATATATTTTGAAGCCACATACAGCACCTTCAAGGCAACATACGTTATGCGACATCGTGTCACTTTCTAAAAAAATATTTTATATATTTAAACAGCATGTTTAAAAGCATACATCATATGATTTATTATGAGAAAGCAGCATACATTTCATTACTGCACACTTAGCTTCATTTCTACAAATGTAAATACTGGTAGATTTGAGAAATCTATTTTACTTGTATTTCCTTTTTATTTTGCAAACTTTTTAAGGCATAAGCAATCTCTCACTATCATAAACAGAATAAAAGAAATGTTAGTTTCAAAGTTTGCCTTGAAAATTCAGCCATTTTGACTGTCAAAGGTAGATTGCTCAAACTATTCCTATATCTTGGACCTACTCCAATATGTCCTCTAGATATATCTTACTGTACAATCGCCCTACTTGACATTTTCCAGTGGGATCAGATGTCATTTTTGGTTCGTTGGTTTTTAAATGATGTACAACTAATGGAAAAATGTGTTAGAAGTAGGAAACGTGGAGGTTTATACAAGCAGGAATTTTATAGGACAATAGACTTATCCTTAAATTTCTCACTACCAACACTTCCAACACTCAATGGTACAGAAAAGGTCCAAAAATATTTGCAAAGCTTTTTGTTTGTTCATGCAGTCATCCAATCCCTTCCATATGAGCCTATTACTGACTGACAATTTCCCATGAAGAAATCCTGCTTACTGATTCCCATGAAGAAATATTGGTTATATCCTGCAGTAATTTTTCCACCGTACTGCCTCTTTTCAAAATAAATGCAGTTCTTTTTAAGTGTGCATAAGCTCTAGCATATCATAAACTAAATCAAGTAAAGTATATACAGCAGTGTAAAAAACAGACACAATTCCCTTCAGACATAGAAAAATGTTCAGCTCTTCTAACTCTAGGGCCGCATGTGTGTTTATTAACTGATACCAACTCAGTAAGAACCCTAAAGATAGTTGATACAAAAAAGTAAAATACTGGTACATGAGGATCATTGCTGGTATTTCCAAAACAGGATTCAAGTATTAACCTTCCTGAGGACTTCCCACCACACTTAATTTCGCGTTTTCTTTCCCTTGTCTCTTAATCTGAGGACAAAGCTCTCTTCCACTATAGTACTTTTGGTATGTTTGTGCCTTCTAGACTAGGGGTCTCCAACCTTGGCAACTTTAAGACTTATGAACTTCAACTCCCAGAGTTTCTCAGCCAGTTTTGCTGAGAAGTCCATAAATCTTAAAGTTGCCAAGGTTGGAAACCCCTGGTCTAGACAGCGATTCCTGGAATAAGCCCCTGCGATTTTCTTGGCAAGATTTCAGAAGCCACTTTGCTTTTTCCTAGTTCTGAAAATGACCGGCTCAAGGAAGACGAGAACTCACGGTTTCCGGCCTACACCGAATTTTACTGCTCAAAGAAATAATACAGATAAGAACAGATTGGGGGGGGGGGGACAGCCACGGATAATTAATTTCTGCTTTTTTCCGGTCTGCAAGAGAAACAACTCTCCCCCCCCCCAATTCCGGTGCCTTCACGTTGTCTAACTGGAGGACAGCTTCAATTCCCACTCTCCAATTTTAAAGTTCAATATTGCAGCCCACCTGCTCCATCTCACGCCTATTCACGGAGTAGCAATTTATTACAACCCAGTCAAAAAAGTGAAGTCCCGAGGACGGAGCCGGCAAGCCTGCTTCGATTTTTCTTCGAAGGGCTTCATTTACTCAGCGAGGCCTGATCACCGCCAATCGTCGTCGTCGTCGTCCCCCCCGCAACCCTCGCCCCAGGGGCAGCACAGACAGATCCAGCAACCCAAAAGGGGAATCGCCCGCCCTTTCCCCGCCTGTCATCAAGCGGCGAAGCCGGAGGAGAGGAGCCAATCTTCGCCGGTCCCGCCTCCTCCTTCTCCTCCTCCTGCCGGCTGGTTCCTGGCGCTCGTTTTTCCCGCCAGACGGGTAAAAGGTTTTCCCGCCAGCCCTAAGCTTCGCCTTGCGGATGGTAAGTGGCGTGGAGTGACGGAGAAACGTCCCGCTCCGGGGAGTTCGCGCTGCTCCTCTTTTGCAGCGCGGCCCCCCCTATTTCTCCCTCACCGACCCGGGTAAGCCCGCCGGCGTGAAACTTGAGGGCCAAACTTCGCCTGCCTCTTAATTGAGCCGCTCGGAGCTTGCCCGCCCCTCCTTCAGCCCCGCCCTCGTCACTTCTGATTCTCCAACAGGGTTTTCTACAATAACGGTAGCACCTAGATGTGTAGACCGCTTCACAGTGCTTTTACAGCCCTCTCTAAGTGATTTACACAGTCAGCATATTTCTTCCAGCAATCCCTAGCCCTTATTTTATCCATCTCGCAAGAATGGAGGGGAGAGGTTGTGGGGGGGGGGAGAAGTATCTTTGAGCTCAGAAGGCTAAATTGGAGCGAAAGAACCTTCACTTGCGCCAAATGCAGCCTTGGACTCTCTCTCACACACACACAAACACTCACTCAATCACTCACCTGAAGATTGAACTATACAAATCTGGGGAGAAGCAAAAATATTTTGAGACACGATGCTGCCCTACCTTTTCTAAATGTTTACATCAAATTCTTATTTATTTAGTTGTTCTATACTTTGCTGCATTCAGGACTATTCTCAGAATATATATTTTTTACCAGTTTGGTAGGTCTCCTTTTCTGGATTTCCTGGAAAATACCTGTTTTCTCTTCATTTGGTTTTAAATATGCCTGGCATAATATAAGTAGCTGGTTAGATCGGTAATTATAAAGCACTAAAATGAGTACATTTAATAAAAAACAAAAATGTTGCAGGTTGATTACCCAAAAATTGAAGTGAAAAGGGAGACAACAGGGAACAGAGATAAACAAAAACTGGATCTGAAATTGCAGTTAATCTAACAATCTGTTTTTCTGCTTCTGTTGGCCAGATCATTGTTGAAGGCTTGATACAATAATTAATATAGCTCTGTAGCTACTTAATGCTCATAAGAATGCTCAGGAATCTTTTTATGAAGTTACGATTGAAATCACACCAAAAGCAACAGTTGGAGCTACCCTGTATTTGGCTAATTCTTGAGGAGTAAGAGGAAATTTTTCTGTTCACTGTTTCACATATTTTTTTTCTGCAAATTAGGAATGTTTCCAATATTTTGATATATTTTCTCTGTTAACAAGAAATGTTTTTTTTCCTACTCTGGAGTTACTGCTCTGTTGTACTGTTTCTTATAAAACTGTTCAACGCTTTAAAAACCAGAAATGTAAAAAATAGCTTTTAAAAATTGAAGGTCTTCTAGACTATATTTCTCTTATAGAATCACATCACTACACAGAATTTTACAGGAGATCCAGCTCTTAATAATAATTCATTCATAGTTCCCCCAATTCTGTTATTTATTTTATCTAAATAAATTCGGCAAGAATGATAAGCTGTAAGACCTTTCCTTGGTTACCATCAGGAGCTATTAATCTGGAAGCACCCTTTTTCAAAGAGAAGAAAGCTTTTTTTTACTGTGACCCTGAGATCGAATAAGTTCTGCTCTTCTGTACATGAATAAACATTGTTTGAAAGTACTAACATGCCAACTGAACCCAAAATGAGTTGACTCCTCATCTGCTATAGTATGTTTATCTTTGATTATTATTTATTTGTACAGATTTTGCATTTGTTAGCTATTCTGAGTCAAATTTGTAAGCCATATATACATACATACATACATACATACATACATACATATATATATATATATATACACATACATACACACACACACACACACACACACACACACACATACATACAGTGTATGAACATAAGTATTATTGAAATGTGCTGGCAAGAAGATAATAAAAAGATTTTATCCAAGAAAGGAAGCAAAATAGCAAGGATTCAGGGGAAGAGTTGAAATATAATTATGAAGCAAATTAGTTTGATGCAATGCGCTAGAAGCATAATTTAATTAAGTTAGTTTAATACTGTTTTGTATCTCTTCTAATTATAGGATTCATGATGGTTTTAACTACAGAGCAAATAAACCTGATTGGACAAGTATTTGAATCATATATTCTGGCATATCACCAAAATGACGTCTTGCAGATTTTAAGGGAAAAAGATGATGATGCCCATTACCCAGTTATTGTTGATGCATTGACACTTTTTGAAACCAACATGGAAATTGGTGAATATTTTAATGCCTTCCCCAATGAAGTGCTTCCCATTTTTGATAATGCATTGCGTAGAACAGCTGCGACAGTTTGTCAGTCAGCTTCCCAAGCCCAGGAATTCATCATTAAACAGAATCTCCATGCCAGAGTATCAGGTAAATTGCATTTCTTGTGATACATAAAAATCTTGGTTAATTTTGTAAAAAGTTTCTGTGGATTATGTAAATATACTTTTATAGCAGGACTCTGCTTTTCATTAAGATAGCCTTATTGCACATGCCAAACTTGAACAATAACTTTCATAATTTCCAATTAATATTGGTAGCTGAGGATAATTGGAACAATTTTTAGCCAGAAAAGGCTGACTTACAGAATTCAAATCCAAGAGCAAAACTGCTGACTAGACTACAGAATTGAGAATAGGGACCAAGATGCTTTTTCTTGGTCCTTTCTCAAGAGGTTTGGGGTGGTTTATGGAAATTCTGCACACACACACGCTGATGCACACACACTGTCTTCTTTTTCTTCTTTCAGTGGTAATTTTCAGTATACTTCCCCAGTCCCAAGCTTTTTTATTTATATATCTATATCTTTATATCTACAGTACCATTGATGGCATGCTCTTTTTCCAGTTTCAGTTCAGTGATTTAATTTCTTTCCTTCACAACAGTCAACACTTTCCTAGTCAACCTTCATATCTCTTATAATTTGTTAAACAAATTGGATGGACGGACAGATAGACAAACAAGGCACACAGACAAATAGTTATAAAAAAAATATCCACACTGCTTATATTTTATTTCTAGATTCCAAATTCTTGTTTGAAGGGTTTTGTTTTTTTTGCAAGAGAGGCTGGTAGTTCTTTGAAACAGTGTATCTCTTTTTTCTCTTGACATGATTAACCCGTCTTAAAATAGGTCACATAGCTTAAGCCAATTAATAGAGGGGAAAGGATATTACAGGGAAAATATGGGAAACAAAATTCCCCTTTTAATTTTATAAAGAGTATAATCTATTTGAATCTATAGAAATATAAAGTCGCCTCAAAAAGGAGCAGGAGTTCTGATGGAATATTTTTTTTGTTTTAAAAAATCTGTTTTATGAAGTAATTTTAGATGATTTAACCCACTAAAAATTATATATTGTGTCTATTGTTTTTATATGATAGCAAGTTCCTTTCTGATGCTGAGTCTCTTTAATGTTTGCTGTTGAAGTTTTGAGTAGGAACACTAAAATATTGTTAGGTGGTGTTTCTAAAATTTTTGACAAATATATCCTTAAATAAGGGATACATAAAAAACGATCAGCAAACTTCTTCAACATCTGATTAGATATTGAGTTTACAGATTATATAAATCCATTATTTTTTCATTTGGTTTTAGCTTAGCATGCTATGTGTAGCCAGCTTCTTTAGTTTTAAATGATCGTTTAAATCTTAGCATGTTATCCAAAGAAAGTACTTGGTCCCCTGTATTTGGCCATCCACACTTAGATGAAATGTGTGAACCAAGAATTCCTGAGGCCAAGTTGCTAAATCAAAATTAAAAGTTAGTGGAAACTGCCAATGAAATAATCTCTCTTTGTTGTTTGATTGTTGTTTCAACAGGTTTACCTGTGTGCCCAGAACTAACGAGAGACCACATCCCAAAGACTAGAGACGTAGGGCATTTCTTGTCAGTCACTGGCACTGTTATTCGGACCAGCCTAGTGAAAGTCCTGGAATTTGAGCGGGATTACATGTGCAATAAATGCAAGCACATCTTTGTGGTCAAGGCTGACTTTGAACAATATTATGCCTTCTGTCGTCCATCAACCTGCCCTGGGAAAGAAGGTTGCACCTCCTCAAAGTTCACTTGTCTCTCTGGAACATCCTGTGCTCCCAGTAGATGCAAAGACTATCAAGAGATAAAGATTCAAGAGCAGGTTGTAAAAAAAAGTATTCACACAGATTTGGTTGGCTATACATTTCTTGCGGGATTTACTGGGTAAATGGTAGAAGCCATGTAAGATCCTTTCTCCATGTTACTGTTGCCTTTTCCATTATGTGAAAAATGTTTCATAGGGAACTTAGCTGATGGAAGTGTAAAGTCAGATCTAGGGTTCCTTTTGTCCCCCTTTTGCTATATTCTTGTATCCCATAAATATACTTTTAAATCTTTTAAAAGAATCAAATCTTTTAAAGCAGATTTGTAGGAGTATAATGTGAAAGGATTACATTCTAGTTATTCTTCCAGAGGGCAAGCATGCTTCTAATTGCAGTGTAAATGCAAGGGCATCTGCTTCTGAATCAATCATTCAATTTTTATTAGAGTCACAGATCAACATTGGAATCTGATTCTGAAGAAACTTATATAAGATAGACTCTAATGGAAATTTAGATCAAATGAAAGCAGATTTCTAAACAGTTGCTTGTCTAAATACCCACAGGGTGATCACTATTTATTTCTAGTTCATCATACCTTCTGTAAAATTGGAATCATAGCCAATACAGTTGGCCACTGGTTCTCATCTAGTAACATACATAAATTTAGTTGTAGTCCTTGAAACTTGTAAGTATTTGCTAATCTTACAATAAAATAAATACATTTTATGTTGTCCAGGCTCAAAGGCTTTCTGTTGGAAATATTCCCCGTTCTATGATGGTGGTCCTTGAAGATGATTTAGTTGACGGTTGCAAATCTGGTGAGTTCTATGACATATTCTTTTGGAAAATAACTTCATTTTAGGCATTCATACTTAAAGAAGAATTCAAATTAACATTTTAAACATGTTCTTCTCTACTAGTAATGTTCATGTCATGTTGTTTCATTGTTGTTACAATTTTATTGATTGTATAACATGAAATGCCATTGTCTTAGATCAAAACTTCAAATCATATGATGATTGATGTTTAAAATTTCCAAGTCTCAAAAAAACTATTCGTCAATAATGGGCACATTGCAATACACACTCTTCTATGCCAACACCTTTCCACAGAATTTGGGCTGATGTGTTCAAAATACTGTTCCCCGTTAACAGTCTTTATTTTTTATGTTTTAATATAAATTTAAAAGAAAATAAAAATTTAATTGCATGCAAATGTGTGGGGTGGGTGGGGGGAATGGATTGTAGATTCTTCTAGGTGTTTACTTTCTTGTTAACATTTTCCTGCAATTAATTTTTTAAACAGTCCAATAGCCAGAGCTCTCTGGATTTACAATAAGCACATACACTCCCTAAGAGAGAAAATACAATTTGTGTTAAAACATATCCAATAAAATAAAATACAAAAAACATTACACAAGTTAGGCAAGCTGGTCATCACCAAATATAATTAAAAGCTGATGGTAGCATGCTAACATAGGGATCATTTGGGATTCTCTGGGAAGTGTTGCATAAATAGTGCTACCACCTTGTAAACATCCTCTTCACCTCCTTTGGTATGGAGAGACTCCTCAGAAGATAGTAAGGTCTGGGTACATACATACAAGAGAAGGCACTCTCCTTCAGTTTGTCCAAAACAGGTTTCAAAGTAACTGCTTTGTAATTTCCTCAATTCCTTCTCTATCTCCTTTTAAAGATTTGAGTGATATTGGCCTTTTTTCTAATCCTTGTGGAAGGATTCCTGTCTTTTGTGAGAAGTAGCATATATGGTGAACAGCTTAGCACTTTTATTCAAAAAAGTTTTTGAATTCCTTTAGAATCCTGGAATGTCTAGAAAACTATAGCCAGTTAGAATAAACAATAATATGCTAAATTAACATAGGGATTAGCAAGATATATGAGACCATTATGTTCCCAAATGCAAATAATTACGTGAGTTGATGTTTTGACTTGACACAATGGCATTTCACATTGTAACATCAGTATAATTATAATAATAGCAATGAAACAATATGACATGTACATTACAGACAGGCAAAGCTTTTATACTATGGGTGCCGAATTTTTATGACAGTTCTTGGTGTTTGTTTGTTTTGTCTTAGGTGATGACATTACAGTTTATGGAGTAGTGATGCAAAGATGGAAGCCTTTTCACCAGGATTCCCGCTGTGATGTAGAGATTGTTTTAAAGGCCAATTATATTCAAGTCAATAATGAGCAAATTACGGGCATCACAATTGATGAGGATGTTCGCAAAGAATTTAAAGATTTTTGGGAAAGACACAGGAATGACCCTTTAGCAGGTTTGGGAGTGTCTTTAAACCATCTATATAAATGCTAAGATGAATTAGGCATGGTTAGTATTTGGATGGGACACCCGAGATTACAGTATTGTCTAGATTGAGAAACTGAAAAAGTGTTGTAGAAGGAAACAGTGGCAATGTTGCCTTGAAAATTATATAGATGTTCGAAAAATCAGCAAGATCGCTGGAAATCAAGAGACTTTACTGATCATTTTTCAGTTTAAACCAAGCATAATAAATAGAGTAATAGATGGGATTGTATGTATGTCACAGAAAGATGTGTGTGTGTATGCATGCATGCATGCATACATACATACATACATACATATATACATACATACATACATATATATTAGTGTCACAACCCCTGGTAAGCCCCAATTATGGGAGGAAGCTAACTGCTTCCAACATCTGTCAATCGGCTCGTCACAAGATCGGCTCGTCACAACAAATAAACACACACACACACACACACACACACACACATATATAT